CCAAATATTGAAAGGAAGAAGGTGATACCTTGCGGGAGCTCAACATAGCAAAACAAACTTCTTGTGAATAAGTTTTCTGCTGTGATAGGTAGAATTTAGTCTAGTCCATATGAAAGAATGAGGGAAGTTGGGAGGAGCATGGTAAGAAAGGAGGGACTAGAAAGAAATTTCCAACACAGAAGATAAAACAGTGGTGAGATCATTTCAAAGTATTAAGTAAAATAAGAAGTGAAATGCTTTATGTGAATAAGTGAGACAGTGAACAACTACTAAAATTCTTTCGAAAATATAAAAACAAGCAGAACACATTCATTGTTGCATATGTTGTATGGACTCTGTATGTAGACCATCTTCTCTCCAAAAGCCACTCCGTTCTCCTTCTATGCATTCCCCAGCGCCAAGCCTGTTGTGGGCGCTCAATAAATATTAAACAACCAAAGCACAAGCTATTGTCAAAAAGTTTGGAATTCACAAGAATCAATAGTGTTGTTAATACCATTTAACATTTATTGAGGGTCAACAGCATGACTTAGTCCAGATGTGCAAACAGGCAATTTTATAATCACAAATTAAGCAAAAGGTTAAATACAATTTTCATTAACTAAATCTTTACTTTTGTTTCATTTAAGTGTAAAATTGTTTTATAAATTTGACACACCACAAAATATAAACATTCATTATTTAAGTAAATAAGCTTCTCTCAGGGAAATCATTACTCTTAGATATTATTAACATTCACTTGAAAGTATGAGATAAATCAATAATAAATATACACCACAGATTCTAAATAGGCTAGTGCATGTTCAAAGACTAGAAAAATATAAAAGGTGGATGAGGACAGTGACAAACATACAAATCATATAATAGTATTTGGGTTTCACCTGTTACTGTGACAATTTAAAATGCTAATGCAATTATGTAGAATACCATTGTTTATAGTATAATATCAGAGGAAAAGAAAGAAACTCTTCAGATGGACACATAGCTAATTTAAGTTAATTTAAGGCAAATTGATTTTTTATTACAGGAAATGGACTGCATTTGATACAGTTAAGACACACATGCTCCAAATTTTCCCTTAGTAAAATGATTACCAATTCGCTCAAATTTATTTTAGGTAGTTAAGAGGCACACAAATTCTATGTAATCTTTTTTCATGAATATTTCTGTCATGTTTCTACATAACAGAATTTTGAAGTGATTTTTAATTGCTAAGATGGAAAACTATACTTAATATTTCTGTAATGAAAATTTTAGTACTTGAATTTTAGAATCTTTGAGATGGAAATCTTAACACTAGCCTTCCCCTAAAGACGAATAGACTATATTCTGATGTAAGGAACATATTGCTTAAAAACTTTGTTGAACAGAAATTGTTTACATTTCAAAGGAGTTAAATATGATCAAGTTCAGCTCTATACTGTAAAAATAGGAAAAGCAATGGCGAAGCCTACCAAAAGTGCAGATAGACATATATTAGCTTAGTTAGGCAATTTCTCTTCCATCTGAATTTATTTCACAAAATATGGTTGTAATTACTAAAATTTGAAATTTCAGTATCTTTATCCAGATGATGATTGCACATGCAGTTTTGTTTATGAAAGAGTACCATCTACAAAGAACATAGAAATAAAGATGCAATAAATGAAGAATGTATATTTAATTATTAATTTCCTGTATACGAAGGTAGTTGAAGCATTTAATCAATTCTGGCTTCTAAAATATTTGACAGCCTTCACTATTGGAAATCACATTTTGATTGACTATTCTTTTTGAGCAGTGTTTAGAGACATGTTCATGAAATTTGAACTGCTTATTATTCTTTTCTTCAAGAATTCTTCTGTTTCTATTCACTACACAATCACTTATTAAACATTTATTGTATCATACTTAAGCTGGTCTCTTTCTTAAAAAGTAGTTTAATTAATTTTTAAAGTTGTACTATTTCTTTGTTGAGATAGTTGGTTTAAAACAGTGTTAAAGAAGACTACACACAGAAAAGAAAAGGAAAAATGATTTGCAATGATTTATTACTATTTTCTTTACCTTTTTGCTGTTGAACTTAGTCCCTTTGAAGGGAGGAAATTAAAAACAGGGAGATGCTGGGACAGCCTACAGCTCAGATCTTTAAAGTTAATTGCCTTGCTGTGTCTTTCCCTGCCCTAATAAGTATCAAGTCATGGATGCTTCCTTAGAGTGACCATTTAAGGCTAAAACAAGTGAATATTGCCAAAGGCTTAGAGAAAGAGAGATAGTGAGAGAGGGAAATGAAGGCAGGTATATTTTGAAAAGGAATGTAGGATGAAAATTACAACAAATATGTGAAATTCAATAATAACAAATTAATAAATTAAATCAGATGAAATACAGTCACTCTTTGTAGATATACAAATGTGTAGGGATAAACACTCACTTATGGCACTTGTATTACCATGTTTAGTTTAATGTTCTTTCATTCTCACAATAACATTTATTGTGGAAAACATTTATTAAGGAAATAGTTGTACCTCCTGATGCCTCTAGGTAATTGCCTTCTAAGCAAAGGGAATAGTTAATGGTGCATATGCCTGTACAGTGGAGGAATTTATAAAGTATTTCTTAAAATCCAAAGACCTAGTCTAGTCAATTTAAGATCTTCATGAGATAAATAAATGGAAGATATGATTCATCCTGAATCAGAGACAAAGTATTATATTTTGGGACTTTTGTAGAAGTTAGATTAACAAAATTTCTATTTCTCACATAATATGTGGCTAAGTTTATTAAATTGTGTTAACATAAAATTAATTTCACCCTTCATGATGTGAATTTCCCATATAGTAAGTTTAGTATAATCAATGTTTCACAGGTACAGTGATAATGTTGACAAAGTCCAGAAGTTCAATATACACAATTTTACCTAGATCACAAATTGAATCTGAAAACTAAAACTATTCTGAGCTAATGAAAATCATAAAGCTTTTTCCCTAATGAAAGTCTCCAAGTTCAAACAAATAAATGAAAATAAACATTTAAAATCTATTTAATTATATTTCCCTATGAACTAGTGCCATGTTATTTATACTTTTGGAGGTACTAAAATTTGTATAAGGGTGAGTGCACAAGTCTGAAAACATCATTAAAGAATGTATAAATTTTAGACTACCGTGATAAAATCCGTCAGGTGTCCTGGCTTAATTTATTTTCCATAACCTCTCTGCTTTATTAAAATCACAAAAATACTATTATTAATATTAGATATGCCACCACAAAATAATACAAGTTATCTAATACCCTATTTCTCACAATTTTTATAACTGAAAAATGAGGCAATTGCTTTACATATTTAAAATAAAATACTGCTAAGTCAATATAAGAATTGAAAGAACCTCTTCTTATGTAAGCCAAGAAAATAAAATTTCCTAAGATAAAAGGCATTTTTAATAAAAATATTAATTATAAAGTATTTTAAGGCATATGTTCATATCTCTATGAACTATATCCAGTCTCCTGTTCAGCTGGAGAAACATTATAGCATTAAAAAAAAAAAAAAAAAAAAACCTGACATCAACATGCAGATAAGAAGAAATAATTAATTTATATTTCAAAGAGTTATATATTAGATAACTATTGTTAGGTAACTGTTATTAGTATGGGAATTTTGCATTATTGTAATCTCAATATTTTGTGGCTCTAAAGGCAATCTATGGTGCCACAGATGGGTTATCAACACTTTTACATTAGTGGGAAAAGTAACTGTGAAATCAAAGTGGTTTATTACTTTATCTCACCTGAATTAAAACTGATTTTAAAAGAAAAAATGCCTCCATAAAGACTGTAGGAATTTATAACCTTTCATATCCTTTCACATATACTTTCTTGCTTAAATATCCATACTTTGTCAGATAAATATGTTAGATCTAACTAACTACATTTAAAGAAATTTAGACTCAGAGTCTTGCCTAGGTGAACAAGTCGAAACAGAACCAATATTCCTATTCCTCTACTTATTTTTCAGAAATGAAAACATCCACCTTAAAAAGAAGTCGAAAAAAATATTCTATTAGCTTTTACATCTTTAGGTAGTCTCCAGAAACCAAAATGAATTTGAAAACATTTAAGTGTGATTTTAATTTGAAAAATGAAAAAAAAACAAACACAAAAAACCACTAAACCCTTAACCTCCAAGCATAACTGAATTTTTAACATTGGTATATTTATCTAAAGTGTAACAATTAAATTTTTTCTAGATATATTTATATAAAATATTCTTAATTTATTAATTTAGGAATTTAATTGCATCTTAAATTAAGAGGGGAAATTATTTTGACTTCACTATTGCAAAATTATTCCTTATTCTGATTTTATTATAATAAATACCAAACATTATATTTTATAAAAAACCAATTAAAATCCTCTGAGCTTTAACAGAAACTCCTAACAAAACATTAAATGTTTTAACTATCGTGTGCTGTCACATTTTTCTCAAATATATCATAGATGATATATTTATTATATAGCTACACAATAAAAATGTAATCATAATACTTACAGTATTATGATTTATAACATTGAAATTTCAGACCTCTTGGGAAAATCAGTAGCTGAAGTTACAAAGTTGCAAAGAACTTTTTTTAAGTTTTAGATATCATTTTGCAAGCAACAGAAATTCTTTTACGGTAAGTCAGATGGTATTGAAACCACAAATCAAACAGAAAATTTCCACTAGTTGCCCTGATCATTTTTTTTTTCATTCCATAATATCCACCATTCATCCAGACATAATTAAATGGTCTGTAACACTTTCCTGTTCTGAACTTATACTCAAAGTTTAGTTACACAAAAGAACAGAAACGCAGATTGCCACCTCACATTCTCCCTGGCATAGAAAAACATGCAAGGACAGTGATAGTAATAGATTTAAAGGCTTTTGTCTTCCGCCTGTCTGAATCCAATGCTTTCCTCCTCATGTTGTTGTCTTTTTAAAGAAGATAATGTCAAACTCCTTCATTTTTTTTTACCTTGCTCCACTGTCTTGGTTTTCTCTTCTTTCTTCCCAGGTACAGCTGCAAAGCAGAGATAAGGTTTAAATAAAAGTTCCAGATGGAAATGCTACTTCTGCTTCAAAAAGCATTTGTAACTCATTCAATGCCAAATATTTCTTCCAAAGAAGCTATTCTAAAGCTTTTTCAACATTTCTCATTTCTCTATAATCCAATTGAAACCTATTATCAATCTAATCTCCACAAATGAAATGCTTTTTTCTGACTGGTTTTTGCACACACTTTTCTACTTTATTCTTTTGCCCTCACCTTTGGTAAACAAGCTGTACAAATAATTCCACTTGGTAGGACTATGAATAATTGACTTACATTCCAGGATATTGCTGAGTTATTTAGTGTCTTGAAAAATGTCAACTAAATGCTCCTTTACATTCAAGCTTCACATAGCTTAATCAACTGAAAGGACAGTGTAGTCATACTTGAGATTCATTTAAATATTGAATAAAGCCATCCCAGATCACAAGTAAACAAAAGAGAAGTAAGATTATCATGTAGGTCCAGTTGTCGCTGAATTATGCTTTAAGATTTATTGCTTTCATGGAGTATTCACTGTTCACCTATTTACACATCACAACAGTAGAGATAATTTATACAAAATCAGTGTACTTCTCTGAAATAATTGATTCAAGGATCGTCAAAGGACATTAGATGATGAGTAGATGTGGAACTAAATATTATCACATCCAAGTGTTACCCCACATAGATGCAAGGGGAAAAAAATATAAAGTTGAAATGAAGGAATGTGGTTGTTAACAACTTAATCCATTGATGAAACTTAGAAAGGTTAGTGATTATAGGATAGCCACACATTTCTGTGTTTCCAAATGTTGTGTAATGTGATGTGTACAGTATTGGCTCTGGAATATTATTGCCAATGCATCCCGCTGGAATCAAATTAAATGAAAGACTTAGTTTTCAGTTTAATCAAATTTGGAATATAGAGAACATTTAAAATAATATGCTAAAGAAACAACCAGAGCAATAAAAATTGTATACAATATGACTGGTCTTGACCTTCCTAAAAAAGTCAAGGTCACTAACCAAAGAGACAGAGTGAGGGAAAGAAGGAAGATGGGACAGAGAGAAATTTTTTTTTAATAGAACTTTACTAAATTCTTTTATTAGTTATAATAGTCCACCTATAGATTATTTTGTATTTTTCAAATAAATATTATCTGTGAATACTGTTTGATTTCCTACTTTTCTTTTCTTGTGTTATTATTTCCTTCTCTCATCTTATTGCAGTGGTTAAAATATTCAGCGCAATGTGTAATACAAGCGGTGATAGCAACCATCATTGTCCTGTTCCAACTCACAGGAGAGCATCTTTCACTTTTCTGCATGGAGCTGATATCTACTAATATTTTTTGCATATGTCTTATCAGACGAAGGAACTTTCTACTTTTGTGATGATTTATTTCAAATGCATCTTCTATGATGAAGGTAATTTATTTTCATTCTATTTTCCAGTTAATCACAGTGATTTTTTTGAAATTATATTCCTTAAAATAATGTTCCATTTTATTCTTCACATACATTAGCAGACTTGATCAAGTAATATTTTGTTTAGTTCTATACCTCTTTGTTCATAATAATAGCTGGCATGTTTCTTTTCCACTACTTGTCAAACAATTTTGCTATCAAGATTATGCTAGTTCTATAAAATTAATGAATGTTTTCTCTTTTTCTCTTCCTGGAAGGTGGGTATAAGATTGATATTAATTTTCTTTAAGTATTTAAAAAAATCACCAGTGAAGCCACCTGGCTTAATTTTTCTTTAGGAATTATAAATAGGGATTCAAAATATCAATTTTGTTAAAATTTCCATATTGGAAAATATTTTATTTTAAAATTATCTATAATATCTACAGTGATACCACCTTTCATTTTCTCATATTAATGTTTGTTCTTTCTCTTGTTTAATAAGTTTTCATAAAGGTTTATCCATTTTATAAGCTTTTTTATAGAGATTCTGATTTTGACTTATTACATTTCCTATTGTACACTTTAATTTCTATGTCATTAATTTCTGCTCTTATACCCATGGCTTTATATGTGCCTCTCTTTTCCTTTCTCCTTTTCCTAATAAACCTTTCCTTTTAAAATTAAAAAAAAAAAGTAAATTTTCTCATATATTTTTCTTGCACAAACATCATTTCTTTAAGTTCTCATCAAAGTTTTGTTTGAGACAGTATATTTAAGGCGGTATATTAATTTTGAATGCTCTGTAGGTAACTTCGAAAGATGCATTTCTTCAATTTTTCAAAAACAACTTGCAACTGGACTATAATTACCAATTTTGGTTTATGACCCTAAAGTAAAAAGCTATTGGCATTAGAATACTGCAGACAAAACCTTGTTAACATAGATGCTAATAAACTTGTGCAAAGTGGGTTTGTTCCTCTATCAAAAAATAGTAAAATCAATCAATTGAGCTGTTTTAAGAGCATCCAACAATACAATCAGTTAGAAACCTTAGTAGAAGTTATAATCATGACATCTTTTTCTTTCAGCTACATTTACCTTTTTTAGTTGAGGCAGCACCAATTTCTTCTTTGGCTCTTTCAGTTTCTGCAATTTCAGATATGAAAGAATGAGAAATGGGCATCAGACATGCCAGGTAGATATCTTACTGTAAGTCAGACAAGAATAAAACTGCCTACCGGATAAAACACAAGGAGCAGCCAAGAACAAAGCAAGCAGCAAAAAGTCATGCTATAAAGGGCTTATATAGTTGTTTAAACTGATGAACTTCCTTAAGTAGCAATGCAGAAACTCTTTCCAGATACAACTCTGTGATATTAAAATTGTATGCTTACATATGAAGTGACCATAAAAAGTGGCTTATTCCATAAAATACATTGGAATGCTAATTGATGAATTTATATTCAAATCTTTAATAGCCTAAGAGTTGTGGGAAAGAACATTTGAATAGCTGTCTTTGTCTATTTAATTTGGGGGATGGCAAACATAATTTGACCTCAATTGGTTCTACATTATAAAAGATTAACCATAATATTATAGAAATCGCCATTTGAATATTGCAGAGAGAGAGAATTAAAAAGCCAAAAAGGCTTTTTTTTAGTTTCTCTCAATGTCTATAGTGAGATAAGAGAGCTTCCCTGAACACATCATCTAAAATGCTAGTCTGGGGCCTCCCCGGTGGCGCAGCAGTTGAGCCTCTGCGGTGCCGGTTCGATCCCCGGCTGCTCCCGGCCACCCGAGGAGGGTCCCACATGGCGCGCAGACCTCTCCTGCCGCCCGCTGCTCCCCTCAGCAGTGTACTTCGGTCCTTCTGCCTGCTCTGCTTCCCGCTCTGGCTCTGGTGAATTCTCTCACTCTCCCGTGCTTCTGACTGTACCCAGTGCTCGTATAAATAAATAAATAAATCTTAAAAAAAATAAATAAATAAATAAAATGATGGTCTGACTACAAAATGTTGGTCAAATCAAGGCTAATTAAAGTTGAACTGTCTTCTAGCCCATTAGAAAATAAGAATAATAATAATGATCTATGAAGTTTTATGAACTTAATTTACTCATTTTATTAAGTTTTTATTATTTAAGGCTATTCTACTCAGTCATTTTTATTTTTATTTTTATTCTTATTAGTATGTATATCTCCCTCACACATCTACAATGGAGACTCCAGGAACCACCAAAATAGGAATCTCCATGTCCCCTTTCCTTCCCTGTACTACAGTGAGAGAAATATAATGGAAAGGAGGCTTTCACATCACTCTCAGGTTTTAATTCTAAAAGTGTCACCATTTGAACCTGGTAAGAAATTAAGTAAATATAATCTCCTGCTGACAGTATTAAGATCCTGAACTCAAAGACTAAACAGACTCCTGGCTATTACATGCCTTTCAGATAAAGGCTTTATAGTTTTGAAACTCTGCATACCTCCGTCACCTAGCAGCACTGTTAAAACTTAGACACTATACCCAGAGGTCTGACTCAGCAGATCTGAGACACACTTGAGAATGTACACTTCTAAACATATTTCCAGGTAATGCTGATTCTGCTACTCAGGACCCTATTTTGGAAATTGATTCCCCGAGGTCCCTAAGAGGTATTTGCAACTAATTCCTCCTATGACTTCCATTTACTACCAGAAGTTGAGCTTCTAGCACAAAACAGAATTTACAAAACTTCTTACTGCTTTGCCAACATCCCTCCACTGTGCCATCTCTTCATCATACACAGTGACCTAAATCTTAGCCTCCTATGAGAATATGCACTTTGCTTTCATTTGTTAACCAAATCCCAGTTTCTGAAGGACACTGCACCCCCTAAAAGCTGTCTTCTAAATTGATCTTTTCTTTTTTTTTAATGTCCAATAGACCAAAGTGTCTAAAGGTAAGGTGTATATCCTCTTTTTTTTCTTATGACTTCTTATAGATTGCTATTTCCTTCCTCCAAATCCCAGTTCTTTTCAAGACACCTATCAGGCTGCACCAAACTCTATCCCTCTTTTCTTTTTGTCTTTTTGTCTTGTGCCTAGGCTCATTTCATGGAATGTTTGTGCCCATAGTTATCATCTTTTCCACTACTACAGTAAGATTTCATTAAGAAGCACTCTGGCTGCACATTAGAAGAGGCTGGGTATTTCTTATGAGTCCTTGGAATTCAGATGTTATAGATCTGTGGGGTATGCTATAGAGTCTTGCAACTTTAAGATTTTGAGCTAATGAGTTTGGAATGAGGTCCAGGTATTCTTATATTTGTAAATGTCCTGACAGATTATAATATATAACTAGGATTGGGAGTCACCAATACTGTCCATATAACCACATGATCTCTCATTTGCTTAACCTCCTCACTGTGAAAATGTAGAGACACCACTTCTTTAATCATTACCACCAACATACTCTTGGACTTTCCTTTGCTACCAAAAATTAGATTCAAAAATTCTATTCCATTTCAAAATAAATTACTCAAGAACCTCCTCTTCTAAATAGCACTGACCCAGTGATTTCATTCCTTTGCTCTTACCATCTCTTCAGATATCAAGATCTTCCTCACATGCTCAATTTTCTTCTCACCAAGTTTATATTGAAATGAACTATGGTTAGATAACTCACATATTGTCTCTTTTCATAGTCATCTGCTCTCTTAGTTTCTTCTATCTTTAAGCTGTTGAGTGACGAAACAGAATTTGATTCTTATATTAGATTTTTGCTCAAGTAGAGTTTGTTTTAGATGTTTTTTTTTCCCCTCTCTCTAAATGGAAAACTTGTTTAAATGTGCACCAATACTGTTCTATCCTTTAAAACACAATATCAGGAGGTTATTTTAGTAGTATAACCCAGGACACATTGTCCTGGTGTAAATAATCACACTTCATAGTGCTATTTTGCTATACCCATTGTAACATGAAAATTTGTACTTGCTAGCCCATTCGAAATCCTTTCTGCCTCCTTCTTGCTTCCTCACTCTAAAATTCAGTACTGATTCTATTTCTGCTAGTACTCATCTGTGCAGCTTGGATACCTTTGAATCAACATCGATGAGCATCTCTGAAATCTGAACCATGACATTTTCCAATTTGGTGCTGACCTTGTCTTCATATATGGGATTAAAAAGAAGCACATCTTGCTCTACTACCTAAATTAGTCCCAATTCTCTCACACTCTAGTTTTCCTATTACTTAAACATCCTAAACCCATCATCTTAATGCTGTTATGAGTACTTTTTTGAGTTCATTCGGACAACATCATCTGTGTCTTAGGTAGTGATCATATAATTTATTATCCAAACTGAGCATGTAAAAGGTGCTAGTTATAATTATTCTAGAATAAGATGAGTAAACCCAGATTCTACTAAAAGGATTAAGATAAAGTCGTATATGACAGGTGATCCAAACACAGTCCATCTGATATCTGGTCCAGTTAGTTTAGGCCCACAGAACTGTCTCCCAGTAATTTCTATCCCAGAATATTTAAAGCCTTGAAAGTCATGCCACTTCTCATACTAAAAATATATTATGCCCAAATATTCTGAAAAAATTAAAAGGGACTTAATGTTTTAAAAGTTTTGTGTTTTCAGAGATCAGGTCATAGTTATGATTCAGCTTTAGATATTGAAACATAGTTACAAAAATAAGCATAGTTTGATTTGATAGCTAAGCATTTCACAAATTACATGGGTTAACTCAAGAAATAAAAAATGGTGATTGCTGCAATTTCATACCAGCTTGGACCCATGATTAAAAATAACTGGGCTTTGGCCCTGATTGGTGTTTGGTGACTTTTTTACTCAGAGTTTAAACTGATCACTCACTGGTCAAACAAGCACATGGAATACATGAGGAGAGTCCCAAGGTCCATCCCAAGGTCCTTGGCATGGAGTACAGTGATCCGTGGCAGTGCTTCTTTAGGGCTTAAATAACACTGGTTATTTAAGTGTTCTTTAAACAAAAGGTGACGATGAAGTCACCTATATTTGCTAAGTATTGTCTACTCCATTCTTTCTTAAAGATTTGCCATAGACAATGTTAAAGATCTCAAAAGCCCTGGAGGATAAAGAAATACTTCTTTGGTCCTCTTCTTGCCTGGGAGTGACTAATCATATTGTCTGTCCCTATGTCATAATCTAATCTGGGTAGGGATAGGGAACTGCAGGGAGGGGAACTAGATCTGTGGCGGCGTCTCTGCATACCTCTGAGCCATATTTTCACTTTGCATGTACCATTATAAAGAAATATGTGTTGATTTGTAAAAATTATCAACCTAGGTTTGGCATCCTTATTTGGTCTAAAGCACTCTTCCTTTATACATAACATTGGTGACTCATAATTTTATATGTGGAGGCATTAAGTGCTCCTCTTTAGCACTACATCAATGAACCTGAAATGTTTCCATTTACTTCAAGTTCTTGGTACCATGATAACCTCTACTCTGAATTAATACAGCTCCTGAGCTTGTGTGTGAAATTCAGTATTTTTCCTACAATGAATTTGGTTTCCTTAAAACCTAACACAAGCGATTCTAAACCAATAAGTCAATCCACATTCTAGATATTTTCTTTAAGTAAGGGCTAGTGACAAATTGCTCTTTATTTTTCCATGGATTTGTTCTTAACCTTGTGCAACTCATCTATTCTTTTTACCTCAGTACCATGGCATTGTATCACATACAAAGTTGATGTTAATTAATCTATACATCTCACTCTCATTTGCTTTTATAAATTTGAGAAAGTATAAAATCTTATTGTGAATGTTCAAGTTCTGTACATAATACTATGTGAATAATACTCTAAGGGTGATTTAAGGATTTTTCAAGAGCATTTGTAAATATATGCATTCTCACATTAGCCATTAAATTTTATAAATAGCCCAATGTACATAGCAGTTACATAATAATTCTTCCGTCATATGGTTTAAAGTACAAAAATAAGTTCTAAGTTGGAGAATTGACCAGTCACTACACAATTTAAACAATTTGTGAATTATATGAAATTAATTTTGTAATGAATAAGTTCTATGTCTATGTCAAATCAAAAATCTCTCACCCATATAGGGAGTTGAACATTGCTTTGAAACTTCTATATTGGGTGTAAAATGATTTGGCAACCTCATTTGCTATTTTCCTGCAAAACATGCTGATCTTTTCAAAACCTGATTGAACAGTGCATTTCACAGATAGCATAACTTACAGGAATATTTTATTGCAAATGAATATTTTTATCTATACATATAATTTTTCTAGGAGCAATCTTCAATCTAACGTTCTCTAACAGTGCTGCAAAATTGTCAGTTGTGTTTTATATATTTTCTTGATTATGCATTTTTACAGACTAAGTATTACCATACTAAAGACTACATAATGTACAGTTCCAATCAGCTTTACATTCAACTAAAAAATTTTATGGAAATAAAAATGGAATTTAGATTCATGTCAAACCTCTCTTAAATTCTCAGTTTCTATATGATTATTTCCAACTGTAATTTTAAAAAGAACATTCTCACCAAGTTGCCAATATTATAATTTTCTGATAAATTCACCAATGATATACTCTGTCAAAAAGCAGCACTAAGTGAAGCATGTATTTGTTTTATGTATTACTATATTCATTAATATTTATGCAGCTCTAAGCCAAAAGCAGAAACATTTACAACAGAGATAGAACTGAGATTTTACTATAAATCAATATACAAATAGATATTAATGGTAAATCTTTTCTAAAATTGAATATAAGCTATTTTGCCTAAAATAAATTTTATTAATGACAATTTGTTAGGTATTGACTGAACTGAGGAATATCAACAAAGAAATTAGTATTTCTCCCTAAATTTATGGCTAAAGTGACTATTGATGCAGATGCCATAGTATATTATAGTTATCAGTCCATGTTTTATAATGTGTGGATAGAAATTTTAAAGGGAAATTATGACATTTTAAGGGAAGTGTTCATAAAGTCACAGGAACTTCATTTAATAAAGTTGCAGGAACTTGAAGTCACAGTGACTTTCATTGGTAGATAAACTATATTTCCTACTGCTTTAATCTAGTGATTAAACATTTGGAACTTAAATCTGTTGTGTTTAAAAAAAAAAAAAACAAATAGAGCACTATCACTCTCCAAATTGGGGGGAAAATCCAAACAACTCAAAAAAAGAGTATGACCAGAGGAAATGACCATTTAAAATGAAAACACTATATACTACTACTACTACTACTACTACTAATAATAATAATAATGAATTCACAGAAAAGGATGAATATTATACATATTATTTCAATGCAACAAATAATCATAACAAGAAACATGTGTTAAACCAGCCTCAAAAATCAGCATTAACATTATCTTTATCAGAAAACCTGAATCAGTAAATTGCTAACATGCTTTATTTTAGTATTTTAGTCTTACTCAACATACTTGCTTTTACTTGTTTGTCACTTGGAGCTGTTAAGGAGAAGAAGTGATAGGGTCTAAATTACCTACAATTCTATTTCTCTCTCTTTAAATAGTTTTAGGCTTATTTAAAAATTTTAAAAGGCTACTATAACCTTTGAAGCCATAGAAAATAATAAGTCTGATTAAGAAAATGCAACATTTTGATATGCTTTAAATATATTTCATAAACCATATATTTTTTCTCTGCTATGTATACATCTTGTCCCAACACAAAATGCCCATTCATGATATATTCACTCTGTTTCCCATTTGAAATTATCTTAAGAATCTTCTAGCCTCTATATACAAACCAATTTACTCCCTTAAAGAGTATACACTGGTATGAAATAATTCAATAAATTGAAAAAATATACGATGAAATCAATTTTTTCAAAACACCTAATTACTGCTAAGTTGCTACACTGTAATCACACTCCATAACAGAGGATGATTTCGAGCACTTCAAATTATATTTTGTCAGGTTTGCTATTATAAAATACCATTCAACTATTAAAACTCTTAGAATTGGTTACATCAAGTCATTCTGCATTTCTCTCATTTGCATGTTTTTATAATAATGTGTTCTATTTCTGCTTCCTGACATGCACATAAAGTGAGAACATGTATGATGTCCACTTGTGGGAATGTTTCCACTGAACAATTAGGCTGCTCTCTGTAAGGGGAAAAAAATCTGTTGCCCAAGGATAAATAATATCAATGTCAATGTGAAGTGGTAAAATGTGTGATTATTTCAGCTTATCAATTATTTGAAAGCCATTAATATTTTAAGTGTTTAAATACGATATTATCTATTTGATAGTTCTTTTATTGCACAAATCATTATCAAGTGCCCACTATGTGCCTGACACTATTATAGGCACTCCGTGGTTAAAGAGATATACAACAATATTTATCCTCTGATTTTTGACCATTTAAAGTTGAAAATCATTAAAAGAAAAGGTAATTTGATTATAACAGTGTGGTAAGTGCTATCATAAAAGAAAGAAAATGATGCCATATTAACTAGTAGGAGAAACACCTAAATGGATTTGAGTTGTCTGAGGAAGTTTCATACACTTGAAAGAAGAATAAGATGTGACTTTGAACTTGTGCTTTTCTGTGGTCTATGGCAAGAGAAGGAATAGAGTTGAACTATATTTGCATAATTATTTAGCCAATATTGAATTAATGATATTTCCATGTAAATACAATAAAATTGAGGGGTAATTAATGCACATTGTATGAGACCATGACCATCTACACACACACACACACACACACACACACACGAAAACACGAAAACTCAGTGACAGTCCCTGGGTAAAAGTTTGCCAGGTAAGATCTGCAAGTGGTGTTTTTTTAACAAGATGGGTAAATAAATTTCAGAAAATTTTATTTTCATTTGAGACAACAATGAAAAACTATATGCTAGAAAACTTCAAGAAAATGGGGCCCTCCCTGGTGACACAGTGGGTTGAGCGCAGCTCTGTGAAGCTGTCCACACCCTTTGCAGCGCCGGTTCCATTGCCGGCCAGCCAGGGAGATTCCCACATGACACAGACCTCTCCTGTCTAGTGGGCTGCTCTCAGCAGTGTATTTCGGTCCTTCTGCCTGTTCTGCTCCCTGCTCTGTCTCTGGTGAATCCTCTCACCCTCCCACACCTCTGGCCCGTAACCCAGTGCTTATATAAATACATAAATCTTAAAAAAAAAATAGAAAACCTCAAGAAAATGATTCGATATTTATAATAATTACTTGCTAGTGTTTGTGTATTTGCTTTATTGGTTGCTTCTTGATTTGTTACAAGACAACCCCAACGTGAAATGTGTTGGAATGAGTGTGGGTGAGGACCTGCGTGCCTAAAGGGACTTATAATGAGACTCAACTGTGGGCACACACACAAAAGTTTTAAAAAAGGGCTTATTTATAAAAAGGGGAAATGAGAGGAATAACCCAGGGAGAAAAATATTCACATATATATATGTGAATATATATATAGATGAATGCTTCCTACCAGTTCCGCTGAGCTGGGACTCCAATTGCATGCTGGAAGGCTGGGGAAAAACCAACAACTTCCCAGGCTCACGTGTCTCTGGTTATATACCAAGCCTGGCTGCTTAAGTCTACGCTCAGTTCCCAGCAACCCTCCCTTCGGTGGTGGTGATAAAATTATGGGATTTGTTGTCCTTGGTGTCCCAGATCTCTTTGCCCTGAGGTGGGGGTGGAGTCCATAAAACCCAAGTTTGTGGAGTTCCTTCAGGACATCCTCTCCCCAACAGATTTTGTTTCATTCCTTTAAATATAAATATATAGAGGACAAAATCTGCCTCAACTTTCATTGCAACTCCCCTGAGTACTCAAGAAATATCTGTAATTAACATTATGAATAGGAAGTGAATATTTGCTAGAACTGAGTACTCCACTTTTTAAAAGGAAGACATCATCAGATTCAATTATAGAAAGTGTTTTGATTTTTTAAATTATATTTTTGTTTTTACTTTACTTTTGTTTTGGTTGTTCTTTACACTAAACTGTAAAACACTGCACAAATATATACAGCAGGGATCTTAGGAAACTGCAGATTCTGAGTCAGTATTTCTGGGGTGGGGTCAGCGATTCTACATTTCTAAGAATAAACTTCCAGGTGAGTTTATTTGTGTCACAAAAAATCAACACACTTGATGCTGTTGATTCACAAAATATATATTTGAGTAGCAAGAAGGTAACGTATTGTGTGGCTTTTATTATCTAAAACTGCATTGGTGTTAACTATGTCGAGAATTTGGACAAAAAGACTGGGAGATGGATGGATTTCTGTCCTTTCCTATAATGACCCTTCCTACCTGTCTGAGACTTCAATGTCAATAAGGTCTGAGTGTTAGAAAGTGCCCAGCAAGACCAGTCTGACTCACCTGAATGCTCCCTCTTTGGTGATTTTGCTGTACAGAACAAGAAAATTTTAAAAAATCAACATTTCATGTCACTAGATTCAAATTCAGCATTCAGTTGCAAATGAGTCAGTATATTTAAAATGAGAATAGAGAAATTTAAAATCAATTACCTGTTTCCACCTGTTTTTCTTTCTTTTCTGGTTCTGAAATATTATTATTATTATCATTATTATTATAATTATCATTACTATTATTCCAAATGTATGTGCCACATTTAAATTGTTTCAAAACAAATAGACATGATATATTAATGCTGTAGAACAGCAACTAATAATAACACAAAAAACTAACATTGTATATTGAATGTCTTTCTTTTCCCCCTTCAGATTTCTCACAGAATATCATGAAAATATTCTGAAATTAGATGAATTAAAATCTTTCATGGATGATAAAGCAGAAAAATTTAAAAAAGGTCTACAAAGGATCAAGAAAATTTTAATTTGCCATCATATTAGATCAAGATGAAATTAGTTTGGGATTAAATAATTAGTACAGAGTATAATTTTTACAGCTGTTTTAAATTAATTCTCAGAAGACACAGATGGAGATATTTCACATGGACTTCCTCTTTAAGGTAAAATCTTCTTATATTAAAGATAATTGTTTACCTAAGATAAGGCTTTGCTGAAGCAATTTTAGGACACTAAAAAAAATAAGAATTTTCAGAGGGAAGCAAAATACACTTCGCTTGTTTTTTTAGGACAAATACTGTTTATAAAAGAACACCTTTGAGATAGTGCTTTTTAAAGAAAGTTTTGTCAGTACTGTATAAGACAAAGCATTATTCTGAGCTCAAATTAAGCTGAATTTACATTATAATGAGCACAAATTTTATATGAAGTGCTTTTATATATATTTGTATTTCTATTTATTTTGCCTTGACAATTTTATGGAATTAATTTAAAAGACAACTTTCAAGAAATGTTTTATCATACACACCTTATCTGATTTTTATAGAAAAGGTATTGAAAGAGTTCTTAAAGTTTCAATTAATGATTACATTATGAAAAATAGAAGATGTTTATGCTAAAAAAAATTCTAAGAACTACATGTTACAAAAATAAGTGTGTCGGGCCTCCCCGGTGGCGCAGCGGTTGAGCGCTGGGTTGCGAAGCTGCCCGCAGCCTCTGCGGCGCTGGTTCGATCCCCGGCTGCTCCCCGGCGCTGCTCCCCTCAGCAGTGTACTTCGGTCCTTCTGCCTGCTCTGCTCCCCGCTCTGGCTCTGGTGAATTCTCTCACCCTCCCGCGCTTCTGACTGTACCCAATGCTTGTATAAATAAATAAATAAATCTTTAAAAAAAATTTAATTAAAAAAAACAAAAATAAGTGTGTCATTGAATCTTCTATGATCAACTCACCCATCTCTCAACTGTATCATTTTGTTTATAAGTTTGTATCTATGATGTATAAGGTATAATGTATCCACTCCCAAGATAGACTACAGGCAGTAAAGTAAATAAAATAAATGACCAAATACTACAAGTCAAAAGGATTTAGTGGAGGTGACATAGCTAAACAGTAAATATATTACTAAATGATGTCTGAAAAACATGGGGTCTTTACATATATTGTTTAATTTATTGCTGAACTGAATCACCAATTATAAAATATTTCTAAACAAACATAAAGCAAACAGTGCAAAAAATCAAAGCAAATTTGGGTACTCAAGAAAATTGAATAAGAGTTACATGTGTGATTTCAAAGTTAAAATAGTTGAGCTGCAATCATATCAGAAAGTCATCATATTGGTAGAAAAATATCTGTGTTAATTTGGAGCAATATGTAAGAAGACTTTTGAAAGCATTTATAATATGGGGTAATTCCAGATGTAATTAATAAATTAACTTTAATAAATATAATTTAAAATTTAATTCTATAACAATTGCTAAATCATGCCTATGGTTGAGTTTTGTTTACTTTTAATATTTGATGATAACTCACATAAATTTGCAAAAATATCATCAGTAATGTCCCTTATACTCTTCTTACCCTTTCTTTAAATTTATTTTTAGATTAAAAATGAGAACCTCATATGTGTAGTAACTAGAAAATAAAATGCAAAATAAGAACATAGGCTTGGAGGTCGATAATTAAATGATCGATAATCAAAAATTCTAAGGTATAACAATAATGAAACTATATCTAGATGATAAACCAGAACAAATAATTTCATTTGAAAAGAACTGATAGTTGTTTTAAGAAAATTTCCCTTCTCCCTAATAGTGCTCAGGTCACAGTTCACAGACCATTCTGAAAAGGGAAGCCATGGGGAAGTAAATAAGTGTCTGAGAAGGCATGTTTATTTATTACATATATTGGTGCTCTGAAGATTGCAAAGGAGCCACAGTGTGTCTGCAGGAAATTTTAAATCACAGAGGCAATAAAGTGAGGACCTTAAGGTTATGTACATATTATTTAATACTGTTTTTCTAGTCTCCAGCCATCTTCCACTTTCCTTCTGGTGCAATAGTTTATAGAGTGGTTTCTGTACCTGTGTGCCAGTGTTCTTCAGCAGCTGTGCACACACATAAATCTGGACCTGAAGGAACACAGCCTTCTCTATATATAGATTGCTCCCCCTGGCTGAGTTGTAGTATAATTTCATCATTTTCTCCACAAGATATTTTAGAAAATTTTTATGATGGAGAATGCCTGATTGTCCTAATCTTTTACAGAATCACATATACATATCTTTTTAAATTCCTGAATGTCTTGACAGAGACGTTAAACTATCTGTTAATATTAAAACTCTATGTAACTAGAAGTGAGAGATTGTTAATGGTTATACAAAATTAAATTGTTTATTTTTGTTTATTCAATATTACCTATATTCTTCAGAGGCTAACACATGTGCCAAAGACTAAGCTCAAGGCATCAGACTGTATTGTATTTTTAGGAATAAGCATTGATATTGAGTATTAAAGCAACAGTGGATGCTGCCTAAGGTAGGGATCCCAAGCAATATTATTCTACCAGCTCATCATGCTGTTGGAGGAAAATCACATTATGAACAAAATATATCATGTGCACATGCTAAAATATTTATGGATTACAAGAATAAAGAAAATAGGAAAAAGGATGTAAAACTAGCATGAAGTTTTTCCCTTCAGTCTCTCCTATTATCTAATCAGATTGTATCTATCCAGATTATAGGGACTGCATTTACACTAATATAAGACAGCTTTGGTTCATGGAATGCAGTTGTATTTTTGGTTAGGAGGTTGTGGGTAAAATTATTAGATGTTTGCATGGATTTGAAAAAGATTCTAAGAATGATTGCCATGCTTTTCCATTCACTCTGACACCAAATCCTTCTGCAGCAAATCCTTTTATATTATTTCATTCTGACAAAAAGCAACAAATGAGAGTTACATGCACTTAGAAAACATGTCTAGGTAAACCAGCAGTCCAATAATAGTAGTAAAGAAAAAAATAGATACACAAATATATTTTGCATGCATTTCCTTACTTTTTCCCTTGGGTTGTTCTGCTGAATGAAATAAACAGAAAACCACTGTTCTTATAACCTTTAAAGATCAAATTTACTATACAAGGAAATTGGTTAGACTGTAATTTTTGCCAGTATCCACCCCTTATTTTGTCTCCTTAAATTTCATAGCGAGTGAACTCTGAAGAATTTTCAGTTCTCATAAGTGTATTCATACTTTAATTAAAAATATTATTTGACAATTAATACAACAATACTATTTAACCACTTCAATGATTCATACCTTGCAATCTTTTTAAACATGTGTGAACACACAGACATGTACATATGTGAACAAGTATAGGAGAAACACCTAACTGCGCTTGGCAGATGAGTTATAATTCAAGACTTAAATGATTCAGTTTCTAATTGATGTTGGTGTGTTCATTAATTGAATTTATACTTTCTAATAAAGCAATTCTTGTTCAGAACATTTCTTGTTTGATTACTTGTCAAGCAAGCTTTTTTAAAAACACATATGCAATATTTGTGCTTTATTACTGCTAAATATTTCTTGTGTGCTGTCAGATTGATAATATTGCTGTGATATCATCGGCAATTACAAAATATCAATCACATTGTCAGGAAAGATTTAATTCTTCCCATTCTCTATCTAACTCAATAGTTTTTTCTTTCTCCTCTATCCCACAAATAATTATTTCTTCTATGTTAATTCCTGAAGAATTAATGAATTCATCAACTATAAGAAGAAAAAAAGAAATATTTCTAATACCTTCTGCAGCAGGGGTTTTTGCTTTCTTTGAATCTGAAAATAAAAAGATAAATTATTGATAAAGTATATATGATAAATCAACATCTGATTAGTCACAACAAATTATTCATACAATGAAATAATTTTCAACAAAATGGTTTGATTATTTATAGAATGTGAGGTCTTAAGAGAAATTATACTGTTTATGAGTGGATGGCCTCAAAGTGATGAAAGAAGTAAGAAACTTGAAATATAAATATAGGAACATATCCTGAATCTACGTATTTACATGATGTTACATTACACCTATAAAAGTTAATGACCTTTAAGAGACAAGCAAACTGAACAATCATTTAAGCTAGAATAGAAACAGGTTGATGTTGGCTCATTGGTTTCGATGACATATAATTATATTTAGGAAGTACTCTGCAGAAATGTGTATTTTTAGTTTTAGGGATGTTAGTGTAGATCTGACAAATTTATTATTTTCTAATGGAGGCTTAGAGTAGAAAATTTGGGATGGGGTCTTCACAAGGCCAGAAAATAGATGTGGGGATAGAAGTAATTAATATAGTCATTAAAGCTGCTGTAGAAATGAAAAATCCTTAGGTGGGGACTACTACAGAAATATCCCTAGGCATGGACCAGAGGTGGGAATATGGATATTGTGGGCCCTTAAAGAATCATCAGCCCTTACAAATTAACCAATCACACCCTAGAAATGATTGATTTAACAATAGATATCAATTTCACAAAGAACCTTTCCTCTGAAAGAAAAACTACATTAGAACAATTCCTGCCCTAGAAAAATGCAGTTTTCCTCCTCAGATTGCCCACCTGTGTCTAATGCAGGATTCTCTTTTAACAAAGTTTTCATTTTGAAAAGCAGCAGTAGCAGCAGCAGTAAGTAGCATTAACAGCTCTGTCCAGATGGACAATAATGGAAGACAAAGTAAATAAGAAAGGAAAACCAATAGAGTGGCCATGGGACCATGGCCACAGTCCCCATGACCAAGGAGAGGCTAGTAAGAATTCTGGAAATGCAAAAATGGGGCAAACAGAATCAGGTAGGCCACGTCCTGTTCAGAAGATCCACTGAAACCTGATGTCCCAGCAGATAGTAACTGGCAGAGAACAACTCATGAAAAAACCCTGGAAAAGAGGTTAAACAAAGAACCCCAAACCCTTCTTCCTGAGAGATATCTCCCATCTCATGCTCTGCTCTCTTGCATTTCAATAAATCTGCCTCTTCTGTTCTCCACTCAGCTGAATTTTTTCACCCCACACTTCTGATTGGCACCCAGATATTAGACTGCCACACTTTGGCCTAAATTTTTGTTCAGAATATTTTATTTATCTTCTGTGATCCTCATTTTACCTCGTCTGTAATTAATTTGAAATTATCTGAATATTTTTAAAATTATAATCATAATAATGAACTATGAGATGATAATTACAAATGGTAAGCTACTTTCTGACAATTCTATGGATTAAAACCTAGAAAACTAGACATTAAGTAATGATGCACGATAATAGGTGTAGGTATCCGACAGTGAGGTTGTGGTATCAGGTCTTTACAATGAAATAATGGACTTAAAATGTCCAAAGATTACAATGAGTAGGAGTCTATTCACAGAAGACCATTATATAGTCAACTGAGTTGTTTTATGAAAAAATAATAATCAATGATAACAGTGTGATAAAAATAATAACCAACTTCCATAACAGTAAGTATGAAATGGAAACACATGATGAGAAAATCAACTAGGGAAGTAACCTACAAAGTCATAAAATGAGGATGATTTGTGATGTAATAATTCCCCTTCCAGATATCTAAAGAGAAATATGTGCAATCACCAAAAAAGAATATATATATATATATATATATATATATATAGAAAGATACTTTTTATGATATTCTGGAGTACTCTCTGAAAAGGACTGTTAAAGAATCCATAGTATATCTTCATAGAAAAATACAGTCATTAAAATGTTTTACAACTTTTTTCTGAATTTCTGCTTTTCTGTACTAAGGATATAGTTTCATATATCCAAGAGAAATAAGTAAACCTTTTTAAAAATAATAAATACTTGTAACAAAACATTTATTTGTTCAGCAAACATTTATTAAAACACTATTGTGTCCAGCATGACCTAGTAATAAAATTTTTGAATTAGAATTTTCTTAATACTCCCTACCCCTAAGAATATAACTATAACTGAGAAAGGTAAATTATAATCTGAAACATAAATGCTTTGCAAGTCATTTGGGTAACTGTCCTAATCAGATAAGCAAATAAGGCAAATGTACAGAAAAATACTAAACAATTTCATATAAGAACATGATAAATGTCATCTCATTCATATGCCTAACTACATATTAATAATAGGCAGTGGCTACTTCCAGTTGAAGACACAGATTCTTAAAGAAGGATAGCAGCTGAAAATATGAAGTGGATGGTTCAGTGGCTCATGTGAGTTATCAGTCAGTTTGGCTCCATATACTGGATTTCTGGAGTAGGATTTTTGCTTGCCTGAGAGATTATATGAGCTCCACTGAGCAATGTCTTGAGTGCTAAGGACAGCCAGTATGCAAAACACAGATCATGATTACATGGTCATTCATAAATACAATTGAAGACAAAAGTTGGGGAAAATGGTGGAACAGAGAGGATAAAGTGTAGCAGATTATTTACATCCATCCTATTATCCAAAGAACTGTATTGGGTTGCTGTGGAAAGGAAAGTATAATATATGCATCTGTGGAATGTCTGCTTTTGTAATCTGCTTTCCTTCTCTTTAATAAGAACTGATAATATAATGTATGCAATATCAACTGTACTGACATGAATGAATAAAAAATAATATGAAATCAAGGGTCAGATAAAGTATAGCACTTACTGGGATAAAGTAATACATTTCATGAAGTAGAAAGTAAAAATTATCAAGCCATGATGTAGCCAATTAGGTTTTTAAAAGTCTAATATATTTGTTGTAAGAACTAGAGCTAAAGTGAAACTTACTTAAAATGTATCATAAAACCATGTGTTTTAGTTAGGAGTCAACAGAGCAGGAGATTATACAAGTATCTGAGCGATCAAAAAAAATATAATGCTTGGAACTGAAAGATCACATACTGGCCCTGAAGAGCTATTATCACTGGCTGTTAATACTCATGCTATTAAACTTCATTATGCCCTCTCAGCACTCTGCTGAAACAGCTTAAAAATATAAGGGCTTATTTGGTGAATATACTTCCCTAAAGGCCATCTGCCCGATAATCTTTAACAACAGTTTTTTATCAAAAATATAGAGGCCCAAAACAGCTGTGATTTGAAAGTTGTGATGTGTATGCAATCTACTCATCACTCACTCATTTAAGCAATGTATTAGGTAGGATCTGTTATGTTCCTAAGTGATGCTAAAGGATATTTAAATGCCAATTGATAGTGAAGGTAAAAATTAACTCTCAATAGTCTACTGATGCAGATAATGAAATATTCTATTTCCTTTGTGGAAGTTGTCCAATGGACATCTTTATTTAATTACACAATTTTTTGCATTGCCCTTCAGCATCATTCCACTTTATTTATTTATTTTTTTAAGATTTGTTTGTTTGTTTGTTTGTTTGTTTATACATACAAGCACTGGGTACAGTCAGAAGCACGGGAGGGTGAGAGAATTCACCAGAGCCAGAGCAGGGAACAGAGCAGGCAGAAGGACGGAAGTACACTGCTGAGGGGAGCAGCAGGCGTCAGGAGAGGTCTGCGCGCCATGTGGGACCCTCCTCTGGTGGCCGGGGAGCAGCCGGGGATCGAACCAGCACCGCAGAAGCTGCGGGCAGCTTCGCAACCCAGTGCTCAACCACTGTGCCACTGGGGAGGCCCAGCATCATTCCACTTTAAATCTCAATTCTGAAGCTGCTTGATCTTAGGACAAATTTTCACTTGTATTTAATTCTACTAAAGTTGTATTGAGCAGTATATCTCAGCAGGCTAGTTCTTAGTGGAGCTGTATTCTTGAGAAGATAATGTGTTGGAAAAGCCCCAAGCATTCCAACACCTAGGAATTCATCAATGAAGCCAAGGTTAAAAGAATGAGATCCATCTGGATCTGATAGAGTAACTCAAGGAGCTGTTAGTGATCAAATATATGTAAGAGAAATTTCCAATAATTGGTTCTCATTCCCAAACCTAAAAAGCTCACTGGAAAATAAAATAACTCACAATATTTAAAAAAAATACTTTCTTCCTCAGAATCCATTGCCTAGGATGTAGAAAATTATGTGGTTTTGTGCTTGTTGAACAATGACCAACAAAAATATTTTTTCCCTCTCATGTCTATTGACCAGTAGATTCCTGTTTAACAGAAATAGAATGTGAGCCCCAAATTATTATGATTATGCAAATTTCTGATGATACAAAATAAAAATATGAAAACTAACTCTGATTTTTTCTCAGATCATCTGAACACTAATTAAATATAATTGTCATTTTGAAAGTTAGATGTGATTGCTTATAGCTACAGGCTATTTTTACTGAGAAAATAGGCCTATATTAATAAACAGTAGAGCTACAGATCCTATGTACATGTTGTCAATGTGCATTAGAAGCATCTCTCTAAATAGAATCGCAGTGACAAAGAAGATCTTAGCTTTCCCCACAGTTTGTCAAAACTTCAGAAATTTCTTGACTACAGGAACCTGACTGCTTTTATTGGAGTAATTATTTTAGAAAACCTACAATTATAAATTCTTTTTCTGTCCCTTTGAAATATAAATCTTCTACAAACAGAAATATCTTTCTTAAAACCTGTGAGACATCCCTTTAAAATGTGATCTTGAAAGCAGATATGCACCCTCATACCCCAGCCTCTGTGGGAGCTTAACTTCCAGTAGTAACAACTAACAAACACAGATCTCTCCTCCCACTGTCCCCCAACCCCACCCACAACCTCCAGTAGTTTTCCACTAGCTCATCTGAGAGCTGAAACACTCTCTCAGGATTTTGTTTCAGTAAAAAGTTTAGTTTCTCCTATTGCAACAGCTTTGACCCTTATTGCTATAGTCCTGAATAATACCTTCCTTGCCTATTTAAGTCTATCAGGTATAATTTAATTTGACAGACAAGATGTCCCATATTGGCACATCCTGACAAAGGGAGATTGATTATAACTTATTTATAACTTTATAGAACAAAGTATTATAGTTGCATGTCAGTATTCATATATAAGTTAATATAGGAGAATGTGTCTATATTTTCCATTTTTTGAATTGAACAAAACTGACTGGAGGCCTGGGATTTTGAAAGACTACATGATATCCCCTATATTTTGAGTAAGATTAGATTAAAATCACTTAAAGAAGTAGTTCATACTGTTGTCATGAAAAATGCATGGATAATAAACCCAAAGGGAATATAGGCAAGATGGCAGTCAAAGCCTTATTGGTAAACTGTTCACACGAAAGGCATAATATAATTTTGTATAAGACATACCTTCCTTCTTTTCATCTTTTTTAGCTGTTGCTGAAAAGAGAAATAAAACAGTAGTAAAATAAATTACTTTTTCAGAATGAGAATATATTCTACATAGTAATATATTCAGTATTTATCTATGCATTAATTAATCCAACCAAATTTATAATAAGAGAATAACCTGAAAATATTATTTAAGGTTTAATTAATTCAGATACAGCAGAAAAATTAAAACAATACTGATATGTATAGAGAAGTAAAATACTATAAACATTTTAGGTTTTAAATTTTTACATCTACCAAAAAAACACAATCACCTCAAGAGAAATATGACTATACACACACACACACACACTCACACACAAATACTAGTGCTATTTCATAAATAATCTGTACAGGGCCTCCCTGGTGGCACAAGGGGTTAAGTCTCAGCACTATAAAGCTATGAAGCTATGAAGCTATCTGCAGCCTCTGCAGCACAAGTTCAATCCCCAGTCAGCCAGGGAGCCACTCACCTGGTGCACCAGACCTCTCCTATCTTGCCCGCTGCTACCCTCAGCAGTATATTTCAGCCAATCTGCCTGTTCTGTTTCCCATTTTGTCTCTGGTGAATCGGTGAATCCTCTCAGCCCCGGAACCTCTGGCCTGTGCCCCAGTTCTTGCATAAATAAATAAATAAATAAATAAATAAATAAATAAATAATCAATCTGTGCCTAATGTGCAACCCTCCTAGGCCAAGTAAGTTCACTGTTGATTCACACAAATGGAAGACAAATCATGGAGCCTCAGGTGTGCCTGACATCCTTTCATGCTGAAACAGGGACCATATACACAGTCAGGGAGAGAAAAAGGGAAAGACTCCTCACCCCCTTTATCATGTTAAGTGTTTATAGCCACACAATTGATACGTTGTTGTACACGCAAGATCCATTTGCTATTTGGTGGATTTCCAAAAAGTGGAAAACATAATCCCTACATTTTAAGGATAGTGGCTGTCTGTTGTCTGGAAGGTGAAAATAGCCTGATTTAACTCATTTTCCTTACACTAGCGACTGATGTATTTTATAGCAGTGGGCAATATACATTTATATTTACAGTAGCAGTTTATATCATGTCCTTTTTCAGGAAGAAATAACGGAACTCCCACCTTTCTTTTAGCAAATTTGTGCCATTTATTTCCCCATAGAGAATAAGCAAAAAAACCCTTTAATCACCATTGAATTCTGACTGGCAGCATTCATCTAATCCTGGATCATGAATCTAAATCCGCATTCACGCTGGTTGTAACTTGTGTGTCACTGGAAACATTTGGGGAAATTACTCGTGGGCTTGGGAATGTTCCAAGCAAAATGACACTGGCTTCTGTGTAAGTTGATTCAGGAACTAAACCTACTCAGAGTAGTCTTAGTCCACATTAGTTGACTGGAGATTGTGCTTATCTCTTTATCTGGGGACCACTTAGAACCAGCATGTAAGAATATTTGGATGTTTTCTGTGTGTTACAGTGGCCAAAGTGTTAAACGATGTGTCTTTGCAAAACAGGGAGGAGCAGTGCCAAGGCTGGGCTGCAGGAATGGATACCACTTCTCCTGCCCCTATTTTTCCAGGCTACCAACCTCTCAGTCACCTGGGAAAACTCTCAGCATGCCATGAAGCAGACTTCCTGAGGGGGGCTGCTGAGGAGGAAGGAGGCAGAGAGATATAGATTGGTGTGGAATGAGGAGGAAGGGGAGACACCGGGGGAGCTTTGGCAGGAGGACTGCTCATCTTTGGCAGCATCATCTTCAACTTCTGGTGGATTGTATGGCATACTGAGAATTTTGGATCTTCTCCTCTACCCCAGCTCTTTGGAAACTGCCAACCATGTATATATGGTTCCCCATCTACTATCTCTCTCTCTCTCTCTCTGTCTCTCTCTCTCTCTGTCATCTATCTATTATCTATCTATCTCTCTCTATCTACCTATCTATATCTATGTCTATCTATCTATCTATCTATCTATCTATCTATCTATCTATCTATCTATCTACCTATCTATTATCTATCTATCTATCTGTCATCTATCTATTATCTATCTGTCATCTATCTCTCTATCTATCTCTCTATCTCTCTATCTCTCTATCTCTCTATCTCTATCTATCTATCTATCTATCTATCTATCTATCTATCTATCATCTATCTCTCTCTCTATCTGTCCTTTATCTAGTATCTATCTATCTGTCATCTCTCTCTCTCTCTCTCTCTCTCTCTCTCTCTCTCTCTCTCTATCTATCTATCTATCTATCTGGAAGTGCCTTGAACTCCTGGCATTTTCAGGTCTCAGTTATTCCACACTGGGTTCAGACCATTTGGTCAGGTATTTGTTGATGAGGAGTTGAGTGATTTCAGAGTTGGATAAAGAGTCTGTTATTGGCATCCTTTCTTTTTTCTCTTCCAGCTCCCTCTTTCTCATCCCTCTGAACCTCTCATTGATAAAAGATCCTAAAGCACACTAGAGTGATTACTTAGCATTCATGAATGTCTGGACTCTTAGAATGGCTTAAATGGGTTATTTCTCCTTAACAGTTCAAAATATTTGGGGTGATTATTTTAAAGTTATATCTGGAAACTGATTTTGTGGACTTGGCATATAGATGAAGCATTATTAATTTAATAATAATCTGATTTTTCAGATTATAGATATAATGATCTAAGTTACAAGATGTAACTGAAAACACAGGAAACTTTGTATGCCATTGCATATATCTATCACATATCTACCATAGATCTATCACATATCTATCATATATCTATCCATCCATCCATCCATTCATCCATCTATCATCTATCTATCTATGAATCTATGTTTTATTTATTTTTGAAAATATAAGCAAAAAAATCAATGACTGAGACTTGGAGTCAAGTTACTAATACTTAGTTTCTAATTCTGCAAATTTGGCATTACTTTCTCTCAAGTCATGCTTTCTCTAATGAATAAAATAATAAATACTCGAAATGTGCATTTTCATGCAACATAATATTTTCCATAATAACCCAGCAGATGGTGCTATTCTGCAATAAACAGCCTTTGCCTTTGTTAATAAGTGCTATGTATGTTTTGTAAAAACATATAAGTGTTTTTGCTTACCTTTTGTTGTAACTTTCATCGCCCCTTCTTTGGTTTCAGGAGCTTTCCCTGGATCTTATTTTAAAAAAAATAAATAAATTACCATAAGTACCATTTCAGAAAGATACATAACAAAACAGAAAAAGTACAAAAAACAATGCATAAAAAATAGCCTCTGTATTTAAGAACTTTTATGATACAGTAATTAGAGGAATCACTGAGAATTAGGCTTATTGAGACAAAAATAAATGACTAAACCAGATAAAGATATGTAATAAAGATTTCCCAAGATGTTTTCTTTACTGTTTACTAAAAGTGGAATAGCACTTAGCTTTTGTTTAGCACCTGAATTTGAAGATCAGTATTGTTTGCAAATTGTTTCTGTATTGACAGCCCTTTCTCACTAAGGGATGAACCATTGAGACCTAAATAAGGCGAATTACTGAAAATCATTGAAGGACTAAAATGAAAATGAAGACCAGAGCAACCAATTTCTAGTCCATTCTTTACCATAAGACTGTCTCCCGAGGGTGCCCATTACTTTAGCATGGCCCAGACAACATTGTGTGGTGAGAGAATGAGCAAGCTTCATTTTGAATCTTCCTTTTTTGCTTCAGGGTTTTTTGTTGGGGAACAGGGGATTTCTTGTTTCTTTCTTTCCTTGCTTAGAATTTTCTCTTTTGCTCTGGATTATTGCTCTTTTGTTCAGAATCTTTCTCTTCAAAAATAAAAAAAGATAAATACCTGAATATATTATTTGATTAACCAGCATGAAAAATAAAGGGGAAAAGGATTCAAAAAGTCACAGTTCACTTTTTCACATTTCACTAATGGTCCTGATGGTCATTATTAAGTTTCAAATAATTCAATTATTATGTAAGGAACATGGAAATGAAGTTTTGCTCATTTCTTTTAGACTCTGACCTTCATCCATTCATTTACCACATATTCATGGACCTACAAAGTATATATACTCTTCTAGGTGTAAATACAGTACTTGATATATATATTCAATTTTCATGTAATTATCATCAAACATTGATTACAGTTTATTTAATATGACAATTCTATTATGGAATACAAAACTGCATTTGAGTAAGTTGGTAAGAACCATAAGCAAAGATTCCATATTTTTCTTTAAGCCAGAGAAAAGATGTCAATTTCTAATTCACTTTTTATTAATCACTCATTTATACCATAGCCATCACTATGAAAACGCTACCTTTTCATTGTTTTCATATAAAATAAATAATGTTAAGTCCCATACATGGTTTTCTTTATTCCTCTATTTCTTCAGACAGAATATATTTTATCAAAATTCAGAATCCATTCTATGTATGATATTTTTATTATTAATTTTCTTTTTGTTCCCAGGAGGAAAACTCCATGCAACTATTATGCAAATACTATCAAAAATTAATTTATGCAGAGAAAAGTCTTAAGTACAGAAACATATCTCTAAGTGTTGTTCTAACCTTACACCTATATAGCCAGTATTTAGTAAGCACTTAATAAATAACTGGTAAATGAAAAGGTGGATGAAAGGATGAAAGAATACATCCAAAAGATCACCAAAAGTATCCTAGACTACTTAGGTATCTTACTCCTTAAACATCTCATCATATCACAGAATTATAGAGTAGTTCCTAATTCAAAAAAGAAAAAAAAATACTTCATGATATTCAATAAATCATCTTAAAATTTTCTACAGTTGTCTTTCCTACTATCTCCTCTTGTATTCTTTGTGTTCTTTTAGATCACTGATCCTAAGTGATCCTTCCACACTTAAGATTCCATTGGATCACCAACGCACACAATAGCAAATTATGGTATTTTTCTTAGAGCCCTTTTACGATTCCTATTGATAGTTTAGTGTCTTTGTAAACTGCTTTTCTCCCTCAGTGGGGAAGGTTCAGATCATGACCCTGACTTAAATGTTCCATTATTATCCTGACAGGTGGCAGAGGTTGGTCATCTTTCAACTTCACTATTCACATCTTCACTGACAACTGCCTTGTATCTGTTTAAATGTTGGTATATTGAGTAGGCATGTTTTAAGGGATTATAACCTATGGACTCTTTCTGCTATGACTGAGTTCTCCCTTCTTCCTTCCCAAATACCACTAATTACTTAGTGAACACCAAGTTAATAAAGATATTGTTCCCCAATAAAAGGTGTTTTATAAGGAGTATCTACAATGTCTAACCACAAAGGGAAGCTTTCAATGGATCTCATTCTCAGGATCTCAGCAGAAAGGTATTTGTCCCTCATGATTTCATTTGTTCTTTCTTTGATCTCAAGCCTTTAAGTTGATTTATATTAATCCACAGGCTTACTGTGTAAACAACACAGTAGAAATGAATAGCTTCAAAACAAACACTTTTCAGCAAGTATGTCAGCTTATATCTACCCAATAATTGTATTAGCCTCAAATTTATTGAGTACACAGGCAGAGGGGAGAAGATGACCTGATTGTGCACAACATTTCAGTTTTCAAAATTACATGTCCTGAAGAATGGAGTCAACCCTGAGACCATAGTGTACAACATTAAGACCACACCAAAAAAAAAAAAATCACATAAAAGAGAGAATACATACAATACATAGAGGTAATTTTCATTAAAAATATTTTTTCTGTTTCCTTCTGAAAAAGTGACTGCTAACTGGAAAAGAAACTAACATTGCTAAGGAAAATCTAAAATACATAGAAAATAAGAGGAAAGTATGATGTCCATGCTCTCAATGTTCATTTAACAATTATCAAGTGATAGTCTGTCTAATTTCCTCTGTAATACTCACTGTCTCCACTATTTATACCCCAAACAAAAACTTTATCGTATCAAATGAGTTTCATCTTTTTTCCAAGTTTTTATTTTATGTATTTTATAGCTATAGTTTTGAAATAAAATATAGTAACTTCAATACAACTGTTAGGGGGAAAAGGATGTCCCAAAGCTAATTCCATATAGGCTTTGTAGACTCCACCCCCACCCTAGGTCAAAGTCAAAGACACTGGTAACTCCAAATCCCATCATCACCAAAGGAAGGTGGCTGGGACCTGAGGGTGGGGTTAAGCAGCCAGGTGGATATAAAAGGCAGACACGTGGGCTTTGGGGGTCCCCCATTTTGGCTCTCCGCCAGCTCGCAGCATCCGGCCAGCTCTGAGAGTGACTTTGGGTTTCCAGGTCGTCGGATCGGGTAGGACGCATTAAAGACTTTATTTCCCTATTTTTTCTCTGAGTTGTACATTTTCCTTATTTCCTTTTCTCTTGTAAATAAACCTTTCATTAACCTTTTGTGTGTGTGTGTAGTAGAGTATTCATAAGTCCCTTTAAAGCGCGCGGGTGAGGACCCACAGCCAGGAACCCGTTTTAATATCGGGGTTGCTCTATAACACAACCACACGTTGTTAAAATACAAATAAAGATTATAATTCCAAACTTGATAAATAATAATTGGAATGAATACCAGAGACAAATTGGATCTACATTAAAATGTCAGATAATTTACTTGGGTATGTTTTATCAGGAAATTATCATAGAAGTTAGTATTCCTTGGTTCATGAAACATGCTGTATTTATATAAACAAATAAGCCAAATGTTTCAATCTCTTCTGATTCCATAGGCATGGAACAGTCTGATTTACAATATGGAAAAAATGTTGTGAGTCTGCAGACAATTTGTTAAGGAATCAATTTATGCATACAAGTCAATATTAGATTAATTCAGTGAGGTTTTCATCTATAGGGTTCTGTTTATACTCTGACTTCCCTTAATGCAGAGTATAAATCTACTGCATTTTCTCATAAAGGTTTCACATTAACTTTTACAGTAAATAGAAGGCTGTGCTATGAGTCCAGTATTGGACTTCGGCTAAAAGACAACAGCTGAAGAATAATGCTATTACAGAGAATCATATCTACATTTTAAATATTTTCTTAGAAATCCCCCACTGTCCCTCCAAAAACAAATCCTTGACTTTATGCTTTCATTTTTTATTTTTCAATTGTATTATTTTTATTGATGTAATGTTGGTTTACAATGCTTCTAAGTAAATTGAGAGAGAGCATATCTTTCTTCAAAGGTAACAATCCCTGAATAACATATAAGTCCCTTCATTTCAGCAAATAACAGCAAAAAAAAAATATATATATATATATATAGATAGATAGATAGATAGATAGATAGATAGATAGATAGGAAAGATGTCCCCTTGTTTGAGGAAAACGTCCATGAAAAAGAAGATCTACCTTTTTTTTTTTAAGAATCATTTTTATTTATGCATACAAGAACTGGGGTATAGGCCAGAGGTGTGGGAGTGGGGGGTGGGGTGAGAAGATTCACCAGAGACAGAGTGGGGAGCAGAACAGGAGGATCTACTGAAATACACTGCTGAGGGGAGCAGCGGGCAAGTCAGGAGAGGGTTGACTCACCATGTGGGTTATCTCCCTGGCTGAGGGTAGAGCTCATGCTGCAGATAGTTTGATAGCGCTGACTTTAACCCCTGCGCCACCAGTGAGTGGTGAGCTTATCGAAGGACCGGTAAGCTCAATCTTACAGGAGCAAGAGAATGAATAATAGCCTAGGATTCACAGTACAGATTTCTATTTCATGGTGTTATTGCATTTTAATTATTTATTTACACAACTCCACCTTCCTACCAATCCATTATTTGCTTTATTTTTTCAACTTTATATCCTTAATACCTAGCAAAATGCTAGAGGAATTATCTCTAATTAAAAAAGTAAGGGATTGATTGCATAGAAATTCTAAAAGTCACAAATAAATCCAATTGACCAGTCTGAAAAAAGGAATCAGTTTCATTTTTAAGAAGACACAAAGCTAACTCAAACACTTTTTCTCTTTGATCACTGATGATGTATTATGCAGAGTGTTTAATTTTAATTTTCAGAACTTGATTTGCACTAGAATATATCGTTATCCTGATTGCATTTGGGAATTTTGCAAAATTTCAGAATTTCAAACAAATTTCCAACTAATTTACATGGATTAGAAAATGTTGAAATTCAGTTTAATGGCATGACATGAACTAAAGATTTCTTTCAGACAACAT